GACGGCTGCAGGGTGGCGCCTCCCACAGCTAGGAAGCCAGGAGCTGTTGGAGCTTCCTGATGGGCCTTCCTCTCTCCTTTGCCCCCATTTTCCTCCCACAGTGGCCAAGAGCCTTCTTCAATACCGTCTTCCAGTTTGCCTCTCTATCTAATGATTATAAGGAAACTAAAGAATGATAGTCTTCTTACAATCACTCACAGCTAAACAGAAAGATGTGAATAGATCGATGCGCACATAGTAGAATTATTAAGTGATGCTCTGGTGCATTAGTCTCATATTTGGTATAGGTTTTGCCTGGCCTCCTACTTAGACATGGGTTTAAGTTCTTCATTCTTGTATAAGGCATAGAAAAAGATTGTTTTTTCCCGTGAGCCTGCAGTAGCATTGTGTGGGCTGTGAGCTCTCAGCTGTGATTTGTAACACCTCAGAATTACAGATGTGTTCTGCCAGACTCTCAGACTGCCTTAACTTGCACGCCAAGCATGAGCAATCCATTGATAAATTGGGAGCTTTGCCGGTATTTCCCAGTGAGAGCTGTCTGGGGTCCACAGTTCCTGCAGACGCATGACATCACAGAGGGGTCCTGTGACTGAGACTTAAGCTGGGTTTGCATGAGGAGCAGCTGCCCTGGGCATCTGGAAGCCTCAGAGCCATAGACAAAGCCAGCAAAACTGCCATCTTGTTAGATGTGTTTGGAAAGGAGGCCTAGCCTAGTGGCTTCCTGGCCCTCTAGTTTGTTACAGGCTCAATGATTACTTGAATCTAGGTCTTTCAACCTTAACTCCATTAGCCCACAGTAAACTCCTGGTTGTGACGTGAGCAAACAAGAATTTCTGCAAAATGTAAAACAGATCCTCATTTCTGAAATCTTTTCAGCAGTCTAACATGCACAGAAACAATTATATAAAGAAAAGCATACTTTAGACCAACTGAAGTTTGAGCAATACAATATGGAAGACACCACACTCACGTTCAAGAGTTAGGATGCGGAATAAAACAGCATACCTCACCGCGGGGGGCCCAGAGCCTGGCTGGAGAGACAGATGTGTAGCCAGCCACCCAGCAGGAACACACGCAGGACTGTGGTGCGCCCTCCCACCGAAGCAGAAACCGAGGATAGGAAGCCTGGAGAGGGAAGCCATTCACTCGGGGGTGCAGGCAGTGAGAGAGGCTTCAGGGAGGAGTGACTTTCTCGTAATTTAGAGGAGTATGTGGCAGGACAGACAGCTGGGAGTTCCCAGCCCACCATTCCTGTCAAACTCCCATGAATGTCAGTTTCATTCTTCTCCCCTGGATGAGAGGAGAGCACTGGCTTAGGAAGGCCAGTCACTGTTTCTTGTCCTGCGCTGGTCCAGGAAGAAGTTCTCTCCTGCTCCCCTGAGCGTGTATGGCCACACTGTCAGTGAGGCACTGACTCTGAGCTGAGAGGACCCGCCTCACATGTACCAGGCAGAGGGCAAAGCATTGTACAGAGGAAGTGCCAAGAGCACAGCTGCTGTGATGCCTAGCGGTCTGGGGTCGATCCGGCAGAAGGGGAGTAAAGAGGGGATCAGGGCTCTCAGATCTCCCCAAGGTCAAAGAGCACCTGCAATTAAAGAATTCAGGAGTGCAAGGGTCGGGAAGACACATGATGTGATCAGAGAGAGCAAGAGGTTGGGCCTAACATTGCAGAGGTGGAGCCAGTTCTAGGTGGTGAACACAGGGTGGTCACGGGGTAGGGAGAGCTCACATTTGCTGAGTAAGGGGCCTGTCGGCACAGTAAGAAACAATGCCAGATTTTATCCCAAGTTTTCAACACAATGTCACTGTCTACTGTTGGTTGTCACAGAAACGGTTACTTTTTTTAAAAATTACTTGCACTTCTAGAATATATTCCAGAGTTTTCCCACTAAGAAATAATAACCACAGCTCACATTTCTGTTTACCATGTGCCAAACACTCTTCTAGGCACTTTACCTATTTTAACTCATTAACTCCTCTATTGGATTCGAGGAGTCCTTTGATTCATTGATTAATGAAATGCATTGAAAATGCTCCTACATGGATACTCTTATCCCCAACTTTACAGATGAGGAAACTGGGCCCAGAGCAGTTAAGTTCTAGGCCCAAACCCACATAGCCTGTAAATAACAGAGCTGGGATGTGAACTTGAGTCCATGTTTAACCTTAACATTCTACTTACTGGCTCTCAGAAAATAAGTGGCTTGTGACCTTGGCTGATAGTCTGATAGTCTCAGTCATTCATTCTTGAATCCACTGCGATTTGTTCCTCTCAACACAACATGGATTGAGTCTTACATAAGAAAGATGTGGCACCAAGAATCCTATCCCTGACTTCAGTAACCTCAGCATCCAGTGGATGGGGCCAAAAGGGTCAAGACAAGATTCCAAATCAGTGTCATAGCAGAGGAAGAAAAGAAATGCTGCAGGAGAAGAGAGAAGCAGTGATCTGGAGAGATGATCATGCCATATTTGAGTTGGCTAAAGATGGGTTTGTCCTAAGCTCCAGGGAAGAGGGGCCTGACACACAGGGAAGGCTTGGGCAGTTCAGTGCTCAGGAGTCAGCATGCCAGGTGTGGGAGGCATGGGCACTTCTGTGTGTCCCAGCACATGCTCCAGACTGCATCACAGAAGCTGTGTGCCCTTACTGAGGGAACAGGGAACTCCTCTGATTAGCCATGCTCCATCAGCTTGGGTGAAAAACAGCAAATATTTTGCGTGAGTTCAGAAAATGAATGAATGTACAGATATGGCTGACGGAGGCTAGTGCTCCCTGGAGTTGGTGTTCATGACGTGCTTCACTGGGTTAGGCAAAGGAATAAATAGGGCTGTTTATTTCTAAACAGTGGGAAGAGCAACTCACCTATCTGATTCTCAGTTAAGTCAAAAGGGCCCCAAGCAGTCTTAGTAGACATCCCAAAGTCCTTGAGCTAAAGCTCCTGAGCTCCCTCGTTGGGAGGGGCCTCCTTGCCTGGGGCAACCCATGAAATGTGCCTGCTGTCCTTTCCTTAGCCTGGGAGCCTCTAACACTGCTGCTCTAGTGTCTAAGCCTACATCAGGTTAGTAACATAACAAAGGGTCTCCTTCAGGCAGACACTAAGGAGCAAGAAGAATGACAGCGAGGGAGGGACTAGGAAATGGAGCAAAAGCCCACATCCCTATCCATTAGTGAGGAGTGACACCCCCACCCCCAACATACCACAGAGGCCAGGGGTGCTGCTTTTATATTACAGCAGCTTAACTCATGGTTGTCATGATGCTCTAGGGTCACTGTTTGGTTTACTCTTTTACAAAGGTTAGGAAAGTATGCCATGTATTCTATGAAGATTTCCTTCGGAAACAAAATAGTTGGGCGCCTAAAGCCTGATGACTCTGCTTTCTAGAATAATCTGTTTTTTGATCGCATGGAGAAGCTAAAGCGTCCCTGCACGTGTATCGGCCACCAGAAGCTGGGAGACATTTGCATGGCGAGTTGTGTCTGACTAAGCCTGGTGCCCTCCACAGCCTTGAGATGCCATGCTGGCAGTGGCAGTGGGCTGGGACGCTGCAGGGCCCCATTCCCAGTCAATTGTCTCAGCTGACACTTCTCCCTTGCCCACAGGAGGGCCACACAGAAGAGCCGGAAGCAGAGGAGCAAGCCCACGAACAGCAGCCGCCGCAGCAGGAAGAGTACTGACCCGCCCCAGCTGCTCTTGACACTTCCATTGTGCGTGGGAACGTTTCTTCTGGAGAATTGGAACATGTGTGGCCCCAAGCTCAACAGAAACCAGTTGTTCCCAATCTGCCGTTACCATCAACGCACTGTTGCATATGCCAGCCACTGCGCTTGGTTCCCGTTTTCTTTGCCAAGGTGTATTAGCAGACGGCCCTCTGGCCGCCTACCCGAGAGATCATAGGGTCACATACATCCAACTTCACCACTTGGCTGCTTGAGATTGGTTCTGCTCTTTTCTTCATTTCTTTCCAGAACAACTCTTTCCCACCCCAACACCACTGCCACCACCCCTCTTTTTATCCTGGTGTGAAACAATGGTAATTTGATATATGGTATTTATATTGGCATTTTTCAACCCAGTGTCACTAGATGTCACACACATTTGTGGTGCTTTGATGTTTGCAAGTCTAACCTCTGAACATAAATTTGGTCAAATAATTGGAACAAAGGGAAACAGATACTTGATATGAAAGCCATAATGACGGTGACTTGTGTCATGGGGGAAAACATAAGGTCAGTTTCTCCCTCTACTCACAATACTAAAGGGAAAAAATGGATTCAAAGCTAGGATTTCAGGGCCCAGCAGTGTTCCTCCATCAGCATGTTAGACAACTACACAGTATGTTGTTAGTTTTGAAAGACATTCACTCAAGGAAAACACCATCTCAACTTTGCCCTGTCACCATGTCCTTTGCCCGCCTGTAGCCCATTTCCCAGGTGATGCTGTTCTGTTTCTCAGGGTCCTCTTTGGTGGGCAGCCACTCTCCCTGAGATGTTGCCATCAGTTTTCTGCAGTCCAAAGAGGGTCTGGTTAGGTACAGGTCTTCCTGCCTCATTCCTCTTCCTCTTTGTGTAGGTTTCAGCCACAAAACTGTCATTCACTCTAGGGGATCCCTACCAAAGGGTAACTTCAGGTGTGCAGCCCTGAGCTCCAGGGCCCTGCACCATGCAACACACTTGCTGTAAGGCTAGAAGTGAAGACATTATTAATAGGAGCATAATTGCAAGGGAGAATCATGGTTCTGCAGTCTGGAGTAGACACTGGAATAACAGCACAGAAAAATCTATGACTCCAGTATCTTCTAGAATAAAGAATTTTCCCTCTTTAACACAAGGGCCCTTCTTGTCATTGACCTTAGCTAAACCATGGCAATTCATAAATAGAGGAAACATTAATGAATTAAAAGCATTCCTTATTTTTTTAACTAATATTTGCACATTTTCTTAGTCTCTTTCCAAGTCTTTGCCTCTTTTATTTCTTTATTTTTATTTTTTCCTTTGACAGATGGTATCCCTTCCTGGATCATTCATTTCACCTTGGTTTCTAACTTTAGATTTACTTTCACTTGTTATTTGACTTAGCAGGTGCAACAAAAACAAGAAACAAATGTGCCCACCCCACGTTCCGCTTAACTGAAAAGCTTAAAATAAATTTCTGAATTATGTATCCTGAAGCTTTGAAATTTCTTTATTAATTGATGAAATATGAACTCTAAATTCTAGCATTGAAGCTTTTCACCAAAAGAAGTCTCTCCAAAATAAATCTTTTACAGCAAAGTGATATTTATTGAGTTATATGGAAAAGATGGCTTGTATTTTTGAGATTATTACAACACACTGTGCAGACTTGGACAGATGTTCCGTGGTGTTCGGTTTCCCTTTCTTCTCTCTCCTGCTCACTCTGCATTATAGCGGCAGCGTATTTCTCTAAGGCTGGACAGCCTGGCTCTCGGCAGTGACGTCCTCCCACACCTGGTCACAAGTAGTAGTGGCATGTGCTATACACAGCATCATGCTTAACAGCGTGTTGCCCTTCTGAGCCTGTTGTACTCACTGATCTCTTTAAAAAAAAAAAATAGCTCTTGTAAAAGGTCACAATAACTCTATGCAGCTGATACTGCAGTGGTTCCTAGGCCATTCTTCATCTGCTCTGGACATCTCAGTCATACCCAGTGCTCGGTGGATCATGACCAAACCCCTGTCATGTGGATGCGCGTGAATGGGTAGCAGGGAGTCAGGATCCTGCTTTCTCCAGCAACCCCTTACTGCTGTGTAGCTTGCATAAGCCTCCCTGGTGACTCGTGCAGGAACCACTCCATTGTCCTCCAGCTCCCCAGCCTTCTCAGTTATCAACATGCTGGCCAGATCTCTTAGCCTGCAAAGAGAACTTTCCCCAGTCACTATAGTCCATTCTCCTTCCCGAAGGCTTGGGGCAGACCATTCGTTTATTTACAGAAGAGCTATACAGTCTTCTTTCTGGCCCCATCTTAAACGTCTTCTGTTGGGCTGCACCCCGGATGATGTCTCAGATGCTTTGGGGAATCTTTAACAGCTGAGTTTGAGTTGGTCTTCTTAGGCTGCACCTCCAGCCTCTGCGCAGACCCCCACTCATTTCCCATGGATGGTGGGACCCCATCATTCTCTCATCTCGGTGTTCAGGGCACGCTTTCCTTGGCGGCCCCTGGTCACATGTCATCAGGCTGGGCGGGAAGTGTCCCTGGGTGCGTGCTCCACTTCTCCCTCTCAGGAAGCCCAGTTTCATCCTTAGTCCCCTCTCATGCCCACTGTCGGCTGGTTATAGCACTTCCACTGCTGCTGTCAGATAGGAAGTGATCGAAGCAGGGGGCAAAGAGAAAGTCCATGTTTGTTCTAAGCAGAAAAGCAGGAAAAAAAAAAAAAGAAAGAAAAACACCTGTTGACCTGAGAGAAGTAAATTCCAGAAGGGAACCAAGAACTCTTCCCTTCCCTGGTGAGTATTTCCATTATTCCGTTAAGGTTTAATATGCATTCAGATTACTTTTACTAAATAGTACACCATAAAGCTTTTGTTATATATTAAATGTAAACTGAAAGGAATGTAAACATATGTATTGTTAATTATAAATATAGATAAGTAATGACATAATAGATGAAAAAGTCTTATTCAGATGTATCACATTCATTTTACATTACCCACCTATTGTCGCATGGTAGAATAGTTTTTTGTCTCTGAATATGTGAATAACTTGACTTGCATTGATCTTTTTACATATTTAATAAAAAAAAAGTATATGTTAAAATCTGCCTGGAGTTACAGATTCTTACATTTTTATGCTGAAGATTCCCTTTTCAGTCAGCATGCGAATAGGAATAGATTTGTGTGGATTTACACATCTACCCACATTTTATTATGGTTTACACGGGGAGGTGTCTTTGTTCTTATTGATGGCAAATGTTGTTAACAGGAGTTACAGACTCATATTTGATCTCAAATGTAGCAGCTATAATACCTTTTAAAAACTTTACCAAAAAAAAAAAAAAGAGAAAGAGAAAACATTCCCTTGGGAAACATCCCCCATGCAAGCAAACAGAATCATAGCTCCTGCAAGTCCGGCCTACTCCATCTGGACGAGACAGTGCTGGGCAAATAGGAAACTGAGAGAGAAGCAGGCAGGTGTGTCTAAGTACAGCTTTGTGGCAGAATGACCTGCTTGACAAAAGCCCTTTGAGTTAAGTGTTTGTTGACGTTAAACGGCAATGATTTATCGACATGAGCTATAACCATAATAACAATTTCACAGATACAGGAAGAGGTGAAAAGAGAAATGTATTTCAACTGGCCCAGTAATCACCTGTGGAGACTGCAGAGCAGGTCACAGTGGGATGCAGACGTTACCCTGGAGCCTGCAGGTTACTGGACTTCAGCTAATACCCTTTTCACCCTGAAGGGTGCCAGCCTTCCCTACGCTGCTTCCAAGCACCACCTAGAGGCCAGTTTGGTTTCTCTAATGTCCTTTGGCCACTATTTTCCAGTCGCTTGCCTTTAGGCACATTTCTATTAAAATAAGTGGGAAAATAACAGAAGGCAAAGATGTTACCCCTCTTCTCCATCTACATTCATTTCCTCCCAAGGTACACTCGTGACAGAAGTTTGTGAGCCATGACCTGGGTTTGAAATCTCATGCTCAACGTACACGTGTGTTGCCCGTTTAATCCACCAACTCTGGGGTTTTAAACACTTGATCTTATACTTAGACATTTGTGCACAGACAAAAATACATGTGATTCAGCTTAAAAAATATACACTGGTGGACTCTAGTAAATCTGTCACTGATGGTTCAAAGGTGGTGAAATAATATGTTTGTTCTACGTTATTAAATCTGACATCATCTCTCAAAATTTGTTGCTTCTGGTACTATGAGTAGGCTCAAGTTCAGAGACACCCCTTCCCAAAAAAAGTTAATGGAATTCCACTGAATTTGAGTTATAAAATGCCAGTTCTCTAAAACACAGACAACTTAGTTTCTGACTTTATTCCTTTTAACTGCTAGAACACAACTATGATCATTAATTAAGGCTACTATCACTCGTAATAACTTTTACTGACCCAGTTTCTCAGCACTGAGGCAATGTTGCCAAACAGCACAAATGATGGATAAAAACATATCCCTGGATGTCTAATAGCTCCTGTCTTGCTGAACTAGGAACTCATAAAAGATGTTTTCCACTCATTAGAGGAGTCCTGGCTTTACTTGCCTAAAGAAAAGCAAAGCTAAGGAGAAAATCCATTGATTCCTGGAGGACCCTCACGTGGCACCAGGACTTTGGATCACAAGACTGCCCCATGGGCAGACCCCCCAACTCTGAGCCAGACCCCATGTTTTGTATAGATTAGGAGTACACAGAAGGTGCATTTACTGAGGCTGTGCTTCTGTTTTGGGTTTACAAATATAATCAAAATGGAAAGCCCAGCTGAAGTTAATTTGTTGGATGCCTTTTTCTCTCAATTCACTGGGAAAAAAAGTTAAACTTTTTAGCTTCCAAGTTTTAATTTCTAAAACAGGTTTCTTGTGGTGTTTTGCAACTATTTTATCATCAAACCTGGGAATAAATTGTTTTTAAAGGGTAATGATGTATTAATGTACCTTTGAATTTATGATTCTCAGTAGGAAACTAGCCCAAGACCTAAATGTTTTCTTTTCTAGAGAATAAAAAAGTTAAGTACATGTTTCCTTCTGTGTAGCTAACATCCTCATATTTTCACACTACGGTATTTCTTTAGGTCTTGAAGGTTATCCACATAAAATAAAAAAATTTTAAGATATGTTTAGTAAAATGTTTTTGTCAAATCTGAGAGCTTAAATGAAACTCTGGAAATTAAAAAGTAATGAAAAGGTTTCATAAATGTGTTCGGAACTTACTACTATGATGCTGTCTTCTAATCTGATATATTTATTATGCAGATGAAACATGAGCTTCTAATGGAACAGTTTTTCTTCCAGCTTGAACTTTTAGAAAAAGACCACAGAAAACCAGGCCAAATGTTAGTCTCTCATACACTAAGTTATGTCAAGATAGGCTCAGAGGCCATCCTGTCCTGCAAACAAAGACATTGTCCAGTCACCTGAGCTTAAAAGAAAATAAAGAGAAGGAAAATCTGAATTTTACTCCAGAACTTTTTTTTTTAATATTTTACTTTAAGTTCTGGGATACATGTGCAGAACGTGCAGGTTTGTTACATAGGTATACACGTGCCATGGTGGTTTACTGCACCCGTCAACTCTTCATCTAGATTTTAAGCCCCACATGCATTAGGTATTTGTCCTAATGCTCTCCCTCCCCTTGACCCCCACCCCCCAGCAGGCCCCGGTGTGTGTTCCCCTGCCTGTGTCCATGTGTTCTCATTGTTCAGCTCCCACTTTTGAGTGAGAACATGTGTTTGGTTTTTTGTTCCTGCGTTAGTTTGCTGAGGTTGATGGCTTCCAGCTTCATCCATGTCCCCGCAAAGGACATAATGTCATTCTCTTTTATGGCTGCTTAATATTCCATGGTGTGTATGTACCACATTTTCTTTATTCATTTTCATTGATGGGCACAGTTTGATTCCATGTCTTTGCTATTGTAAATAGTGCTGCAATAAACATACGTGTGCACTTGTCTTTATAATAGAATGATTATATTCCAATGGGTATATACCAAGTAGTGGGATTGTTTGGTCAAATGCTCTTTTTGGTTCCAGATCTCTAAGGAATCGCCACACTATCCTGCACAATGGTTGAACTAATTTACACTCCCACCAACAGTGAAAAAGCATTCCCACTTCACAGCCTCGCCAGCATCTGTTGTTCCTTGACTTTTTAATAATCACCATTCTGATTGGCATGAGATGGTATCTCCTTGTGGTTTTGATTTGCATTTCTCTAAGGATCAATGATGATGAGCTTTTTTTCATGTTTGTTGGCCCCATAAATGTCTTTTGAGAAGTGTCTGTTCATATCCTTTGCCCACTTTTTTTTTTTTTTTTTTTTTTTTCTTTTTTGTGGTTTTTTTCTCTTGTTGCCCAGGCTGGAGTGCCGTGGCACAATCTCAGCTCACTGCAACCTCCACCTCCCGGGTTCAGGCGATTCTCCTGCCTCAGCCTTCTAAGTAGCTGGGATTATGGGCACGTGCCACCACACCCGGATACTTTTTGTATTTTTAGTAGAGACAGGATTTTGTTTTGTTGGCCAGGCTGTTCTCAAACTCCTGACCTTAGGTGATCCTCCTGCCTCAGCCTCCCAAAGTGCTGGGATTACTTTTTGATGGTTTTTTGTTTTGTTTTGTTTTTGTAAATTTAAGTTCCTTGTAGATTCAGATATTAGACCTTTGTCAGATGGGTAGATTGCAAAAATTTTCTCCCATTCTGTAGGTTTCCTGTTCACTCTGATGCTAGTTTCTTTTGCTGTACAGAAAGTCTTTACTTTAATTAGATCCCATTTGTCAATTTTGGCTTTTGTTGCAATTGCTTTTGGTGTTTTTGTCATGAAGTCTTCGCCCATGCCTATGTCCTGAATGGTATTGCTTAGGTTTTCTTCTAGGGTTTTTATGATTTGGGGTTTTACATTTAAGTCTTTAATCCATCTTGAGTTAATTTTTGTATAAGGTGTAAGGAAGAGGTCCAGTTTCAGTTTTCTGCATATGGCTAGCCAGTTTTCCCGGCGCCATTTATCAAATAGGGAATCCTTTCCCCATTGCTTGTTTTTGTCTGGTTTGTCAGAGATCAGATGGTTGTAGATGTGTGGTGTTTCTGAGGTCTCTGTTCTGTTCCATTGGTCTGTATGTCTGTTTTTTACCCATACCATGCTGTTTTGATTACTGTAACCTTGTAGTATAGTTTGAAGTCAGGTAGTGTGATGCCTCCAGCTTTGTTCTTTTTGGTTAGGATTGTGTTGGCTATACAGGTCTTTTTTGGTTCCATATGAAATTTAAAGTAGTGTTTTCTAATTTTGTGAAGAATGTCAATGGTAGTTTGATGGGAATAGCATTGAATCTATAAATTACTTTAGCAGTATGGCCATTTTCACGATATTGATTCTTCCTATCCATGAGGATGGAATGTTTTTCCATTTGTTTGTGTCCTCTCTTATTTCCTTGAGCAGTAGTTTGTAGTTCTCCTTGAAGATGTCCTTCACGTCCCTTGTAAGCTGTATTCCTAGGTATGTTATTATCTTTGTAGCAATTGTGAATGGGAGTTCATTCATGATTTGACTCTCTGTTCGTCCATTGTTGGTGTAAAGGAATGCTTGTGATTTTTGCACATTGATTTTGTATCCTGAGACTGCTGAAGTTGCTTATTAGCTTAAGTTTTGGGGCTGAGACGATGGGATTTTCTAAATATGGAATCATGTCTT